AAAGCATTCTAAGGCTGGGCATCGTAGCTCATGCCTTTAATCTCACCTAGCACTGGGGGGCAGAATTAGGTAGATCTCTGTGAGTTCAAGGCCATCCTGGTCTACACAGAGTTTAAGGCAAGCCAGGGTGATAAAGTGAGACCCTATCTCAAAACAAACAAATGAAAAGCATTCTTAGTTTTCAACAAACTGAAATATCTGAAATTTGTTTACAAGCATGTTATATTTTAAACCCCTATTTAAATTCCAGAGATATTATCACAGCATTAAAAATTCTTAACTGTTTACATAAAATTTCTGATATTGTACAAGTTAACCTGAGATCATTTCGGATTACAAAGCATAAATTTTTCCAACTGAGTTTTTCTAAATTTTGTAATACAAACGCATACATAGAATAACCACTAGCTTTAAAAATTTATACTTAACTTTTTTTTGAAATAATTTTCATTTTAAAATTAACATTTACTTACAAAATTTTTTATTTTTATTTTATGTGTATGTGTGTATTGTCTGCATGTACGTAAGTGCACCTATACTGTGCAATCCCCACAGAAGTCAGAAGGCATTGGATTCCCCTGGAGCTGGAGTTAAGGACGGTTGTTAGATGCCATATGAGCAATGGGACTGAAACCCAGGTCCTGCTAGTGCTCTTAACTGCTGAGCGATCTCTCAAGCCCTAACATTTTCTTTTTAAAACTATTTTATTTTAAATTTATGTGTATTAGTGTTTTGCCTGCAAGTATGTAAGTGTATCATGTGCATGCCTGGTACCTGCAGGGGCCAGAAGAAACTCCTGGAACTGGAGTTATATATAGTTGTGAGCAGCCTTATGGGTGCTGGGAACTCTGATCCTCTGCCAGAGCAGGAAGTGATCTTAGCCACTGAATTATTTCTCCTGTCCCTAAAATGAACATTTTTTACATAACAGAGAAGTGATCAAAACTCCAAGTAGGGCCAGGCTTGTAATCTCAGCTACTTGAGAGGCTGAGGCAAAGGTAGTGTGCTTTACCTAGCATGTACAAGGTGCTAGGATCAATTCTTAGTACTGTCAAACAAAACACACATACACACTACCAACAACAAAAAGAAAACAAAGCCTCCAAGTAAAAATGTGGCTCTCCATTGAAAATGCAACTTGCTTTCTCTGAAAATACATGTCATTTAAATGATGTGCATCTTGAAAGAACTGATTGACCTTTACTTTTAAAGTATAAACATTGACCAGGTAAAGGAATAAGAATTTCCACTCATTCCAGGAGTTTAGATTCAACTTACTCCTGTTAGACAAAGCAGTCTAAAGTACCTTAGTTACATTAAAATAACTTGAATTCATTTTGTAGATTGTAGGTGAGCTGATCAATAGGGGCACAGAACATAAAGCCCATTCCTTCTTGACCACAAGACAATGCAAAATTTCTGGGTTTTGTTTTGCACTGTTTAATGAAAGGAGGAATGAGTTCCGTGTTCTCTTGTCCAGTGGGGTGACGCCAGCTAACAAACAATGGCCCATTTCAAAACACCTGGAAGAGAGAATTCTGAGTGTTCTTACAGCTGCTCCTTCATGGGCCTATTGACCCCGGAAGGGTGAGAAAGGTGCTCAGCGGCCGGCCGTTGCCCTGGCCCGTGGAGGGCAGAGACCAAGGGCATCTCTGTCTCCACCTCCTAGGTGCACGATGATGCGGATGAAAAAGAGGAGAGGGCCTTGGAAAGCCCAATCACTCCCACAAGTCCGCGTGCTCGCTGAGGCTCCCGTGGCTGGGCTGCAGCTGCCCAAGTCCCTCGCCCAGGTCTCTCGAGGCCGGCCCCTTCCACAGGCCTCACCTTTCTCCCTCAGACGCAGGCTGGGTGTGGCGCAGAGCACCCCGAGTGCTTCTCACCTGAGGCAACCGACGTCTTCCTTCCACACCGGCTGCACCAGCGCTCAGTGGCACCAAGGGGCCCACTCTTTCTTCCCACCTCCTGGGAAGACGCAGTGAACGCGGGCGTCGAGTCCTCTGCCGCCATCTCTCCTCTTTCTGAGGTGGAGAGCAGCCGCAAGAGCGCGTGGAAGTCCCGGCAGCCCTCGCGGCTCCGACCAATCAGAGGAGGCGGGTGGCCACAGGTAGCCAATCAGTAGGCCGAGAGTACAGGCTCTGCCCCTGGGTCGCTCATGCGCGGCACAGAGCTTTCAGAGACGTTGGGTTGTTTTCGGTTTTGTCCTGGGCCCTTGGGTTTACCGTTTCCTTTTTCAAGTCTTTACCACGGGCGTCAACATGTTACACATTTAATCAACTCAAATGTGGGATTTATGTATTAGGACTTATGTCAGGGAGGACTTCAAGTATCAGGCCATTAGAACAAAGCACCCTTTTCTACTCTGTGTCAGTCAGGGTGGTGAAGCAACGTTGTGATTTGCTGTATTATAGCTGTCATGGAGAAGGCAATTAGCTACCCTTTTGAGAGACCCGGTTCCAAACTAGCAGATGATCATGATTAGCAGTTCCTGAGCTACAGTTCTTGGAACGCATTAAAGATGCTACTTACTTTTGCTTACTACTGTGTTTCTGCTTGAGAGACATGCATCTAGTAACTTCTAAGGTGTTTTGTGAAGACATGAAGACATAGTATAAAAAATCTTTCTAGAGGATACAGTTAACTCTAAAACCCAGTAATACTAACAGGCATAAACAGGAAGCAAGATACTCCAGGGAGAAAGAACACATAAAGAGGGACCATAATTGGGAGATACAGTGGCCACTAACTCATTTAATTTATAAACCATTCATCCAGAATACTAGTTTCCTTAATGTGGGACTTTTGAAGGGTTTTTTGGGGGGAAGAATTTTGGAGCATCTTGAATATTGGACTTTACTCTGATCAGTAAACTACAGGAGAGGTTTTGTAAGCAAGGAATGAAGTAATGTGGCAACAAAATGACAGGTGTGTTTCAGAAAAAGCAACTGAAAGTGGTGAGATTGCCTCAGCTGCTAAGAATAAAGCCTGTGTATAGTTTCTCCTCCCCACTGTGTGTGTGATTATGTCAAAAACGAAGTATTCTGTTCAAAGGCACACCCTTCACTGTAGATCAGCAAATGACATTTTTATAGTATTTTTTGTAAAGCAAACTATTTTGTACCTTGAATTTAGTATATGTGTACTAGTGAAACATTGTGAAAGTGAATTTCTACCTCTGTATCTAAATGTGTGTCAGCCACTTGTAAATTATTATGAACTACTATGTGATTGTTTTTGTTTTTAGATTGGTTGTTTTTAAATAGCAACCAATAGTTAAAGGTCTTTAAAATAAACCAACTTTTACTGATTGGGAAAGTTTGTAATGGATTGATTAATTTTAAAGAATTATCAAAGAAGGCATACTCCTACTCAATAATCCTTACACCTTGTTACCTTTAGGAAAAAGTATGGGTGTTTAAATCTGTGCCAATTCACTCATCTAATAGTTTCTTCTAATCTATAATAGAACTCAGGGCACCAATACTAACAAGCCAACATTCCCTTTATCATATTGCTTATTCTTCATTTTTTAAAGTTCTGTTTCCTAGTCCCCTCCTCTGCAATGCCCACCCCTTCCTCTTCATCAACTCATGTCTCTTCTTCCTTTGTAGGTTGACTTTAGAACCTTAAAAACTTTTCTTCTCATGCTGAATACTACTTCAGGATGTAGCAATAGTTTTTTTCTACTAGATATCAGTAATGTAATTTGTTTGCTTTTCGATTCTGAGTTAGAATCTTATTCTGTTACCCAGACTGGTTTCAAACTTCTAGGCTTGAGTGCTCTCTCATCTCAGCTCCAGTGTAGTTGGGATATCAGACAAACACCACCATGCCTTTCTTGCAGTGTAATTTGAATAATAACAATCTCATTTCATAGAGATTAATCTTGGGCCAAAATATGAATATCTAATTTGGTACAGTATAGGGGAAACACCTCTGAATATCATCTGGCATAACAGAGAATTATGCCTTTGGCAATCCCCAAGTTGAATCATCTTGGATAAATCAGAGGTGGTGAAAGATGCAATGATATGTGTTTAGAGCTGCATGGTAGATACTTAGTATTAAAAAGAATAGACAAGCAGGGTATGGTGGTACATGCCTTTAATCCCAGCACTTGGGGGGCAGAGGCAGGTGGATCTCTGTGAGTTCAAAGCCAGCCTGGTCTACATAGTAAGTTCAAGACCAGCTGGGGCTACAGGAGTTACATTAACATTTAATTTACATTGGTTAAGTCCTTTGGAACTCTTTATGCTCTGCAATGAGTGTGATAACATCCTTAAACTGGCCTTGAAGGCCCTTATAACTTTGACTTTTGCTTTCCTCTCCAGTCTCATTTTTTTCCAGATACTCTGGTCTTTTCAGTTCTGTAAATAGATCAAGTTCTTTCCAACCTTAGGAACTTCTGCCTGGAACTCTCTTCCCTCTGCTATTAAAATTTTCTGTTTTAGCCCCACAAAAGGATAAAAAATAAAAATACCAATGCCCATGTACCTTCCAACCAGTTTAAGAAATAGTCTTAAATTGCTAGTTTTATTATATCTGTTTGAATTTACTTACATGCTGGACTAATTTTTATTTTCCTTTATGTTTAATACCATTTTTTCTAGGATGTTTTCTTCTTTAAAGACACCCTAAAGAAGCGTCTTTTAGTAAGCGTTTGCTGCTGGTGAATAGTGTGAGCATTTTATCCCATTATCACTGTTCAATGATAATGACACAAAATTCTAGGTTGACAGTTATTTTTTTCTCAAATAACATTACTTGATATGGTGGTATTATTTGAACATTACAATTATACCTGAATTAAAAAGCCCAGCTCTTAAAATTAGTTTTTAAGAGTGGGCCTGAACTCAGAGAACATTTGTTCCCTCACATATCTCTTGGAACTGTCTGTTCCTAGAACTGTGCTGCTGAAACTGTGTCTGGCACACTGTCCCTGGAACTGTGTCCTTGAGTGAGGCCCCACCCATGATTTTATTCAAAACGGTTTCTTCAGCTTCCCTCGGGGAAGTACAAGTTTAAATCTACCCTACTCTTAACAGACCATCTGCCACCTTGCCTTTTTATCCCTAGCTCTAGATTATCTCATTCACCCAATGTTAAGTGTCCTTTCCAATCTTCACTGTGGTCAATGAAGAGAGACATGCCATCTTTCAGCACTTTGATAAGCTAATTCTCAATCATATACACATCAATTCATTATATTTTTGGGTGGAGTACCAAACTGAGGTTGCCAAGGATAATTAAGTCATTAGTCCAGATTCTAAAATATTTTGTTATTTTAAAATTTTATGTGTATGAATATATTACCTGCATGTATGTAAGTGCAATGCCCACAGAGGTCTGAAGAGGGTGTCAGATCCCCTGGAAGTGGAGTTACAGACAGTTGTTTGCTGCCAGATGGTTGTTGGGAACTGAACCTGGGTCTTCCATGGGAGCATCCCATGCTTTTAACTGCTGAGCCATCTCTCCAGCCCCCAGATTCTGTCAATATTATAAAAGTTATTCTTGGAATCTGACTTCTGATTTCATTGTTATTGAGAAATTTTATGTCAAAGTGTCATTCCTTGCAGGTAAATTGTGTTATTTGGCATTTAATATGTTTCACAGTAATATTGGGGTATAGATATTTATTCATTGTACTATTTATTTCTGTGTAACTGTGACCAAAATACTTGAGAATACAATTTAAATGAGGAAATATTTATTTGGCTCATGGTTTCAGAGACTTTAGTCCATAGCCTTTGACTGCATTGATTCTGGGTTCATGGTGAGGAAGAACTTCACGGTGGCAAGAGCATGTGGAGAAAACTATTCATCTCTTGGTGGATAGGAAGCCAAGAGAGTGAGATAGAGTTTGGAAGTCAGGTAGAGCTTTCAAAGACAACCTCAGTGGCCTCTTTCTGCCAGCTAGTTTCAACCACCTAAAGTTTTCAAAACCTCCTAAAATTGTGCCACCAGCTGGGGATGAAGCTCCCAACACAGCCTTTTGGAGCAAGGGACAATTCATATTCAAACCATAATATTTACCTTATTTGAAATTGATTGCAGTTCTTGGACTGGAGCATTCTTATTTTACAAGTCCAGGAAATCCTGACTATTATCTCTTTGCTGCTGTTAATTTTTTTCTTATTCAGCAAATTGACTGACTTCTACTCTTTATTTCTTTTAACCTCTTTCAAGTTTCATTTCTTTATCTGTGTGTGATGCTCTTTGGTTCATTTTTTGAGGTCTACATCCTAGTTAATGCACTATCCAGCTGTATCTAATTTGCTATTTATCCTGATCATTATATTTTAAAATGTCTGCGAACACATATTCTTTTCATAATTTACCTGATCTTTGGGGGTAGAAATATGCTCTGTTTTCATGTTTTAAAAAAATTCCCAGCACTCAGAAGTCAGAGGCAGGCAGATCTCTGTGAGTTCAAGGCCAGCCTGGTCTACATATGAGTTCCAGGACAGCTGGGGCTACAGGGAGACCCTGTCTCAAAAAAGACCAAAAAAAATTCCATATTTATCCTTTGATATTTTAGACATATTTTTGTATTATGTATTTCAAAATAATTTCTCTGACATTCTTGAGGGGACTAATTCTACAATTTGTTATTTTTTTGATTCTCTTGCATGATGATTTGCTTCTCCATATGATTTTGAAATTCTGGTATAATTCCCTTTTCAGAGGTGTTTATGTAGGAATCTTGAAAGGCTTATGTTAAAGATACATTTCTTTAGATTTTTGTTTTGCTTTTTTCCAGGTGCCCCAAGTTACTGTGAATTTAAGACTCCTTATTTGTTTGTTGATACAGGCTGTTAGTATATAGCTGTATGAGGCTGGCCTAGAGCTTTTGATATATCTCAGACTGATCTCCAACTCACAATCCTACTGCCAGTACCCCAAAAGTACTGAGATCACAGGTATATGTCACTAAGCCTGGTACTCTATGACCACATTTTTTTCTTTCTCATCCTGGATCATTATTTTCTAAAGACCATCATTTCAAATTCCAAGGTCAGTGAAGGGTATGTGTGTATTCTAGATTGCCAGAGCAAAGTTTTTCTCAACTAAAAGGCATACAAGATTGTCATATTTCTTTGCCTTTTAGTCTGCCTGCTTATTCCTATCTGTGGTATACAGTCCTCCATGAGAATACTTGGTTAAGCAGCTGTTTGGTTTTTTTTTTTTTCATAATAATGCAACAAATGTACCATAAGGCTATCTTGAGGCTTTTGCTTGCATTTCATGAATGATTAATGAAGCTGACATCTTTTCATCTTCATTTGAGATTTTATAGTCTTGTCTTTTGGACTGTTTTGTTCTTATAGATTTGAAGCATTCTTTTAGACTCCATCACACATATACTCTTCTAAACTATGACTTTAAAGAATAGTTTATAGAGGGACTGGAGAGATGGCTCAATGGTTAAGAGTGCTGGCTGCCCTTCCAGAGGACCCAGGTTCAGTTCCTAGCACCCACGTGGTAGCTAACAACTGTCTGTAACTCCAGTGTAACTCTTCTTTTGCTTCCAAGGGCATTGCATACATGTGGTGCACTTACATACAAACAAAACACATACATAAAAAATAGTTCATAGTTCTTATTGTGCAGAGATGTTTTATTTTTCTGTGGTATTTTCAATAAGAATTGTGTGGATTTTTGTTTGTTTGGGGGATTTTAAAACTTTATTTGTTTATTTTGTATTTTTGAAACAGGGTCTCCCTGTAGCCCCAGCTGGCCTGGAACTCATTATGTAGACCAGGCTGGCCTCAATCTCACAGAAATTTGCCTGCTTCTGTCTCCCAAGTGAGTGCTGGGATTAAAGGTATGTGCCTCCACACCTGGCTCTTAAGATTTGTGGGTTTTGTTTTGTTTAGAAATCTTTTCTCAAGACAAACATTCATCTCATTTATCTTCCATAATCTGGCATGCTTATTCTGTACATGTCTTGCATAAGGTTCATCACCTTCCCTTTCTTTTTAAAATTCAGCTTTGTTTTTGGTATTTTCATAGATGGGAAGGGAAGTGCCAAGCAACAAAAAGAAGAACCCACAGTAGGGGCTGGAGAGATGGCTCAGTGGTTAAGAGCACTGACTGCTTGCAGAGGACCTGGGTTCGATTCCCAGCACCCACATGGTGGCTGTGAACCGTCCTTGACTCCAGTTCTAGGGGAATCCGAAGCCCTCTTCGGACCTCCAAGGCATTGCACGACGCGGGTGCACTCACTTACATGCAGGCAACACGCTCATACACATAAAATAAAAATAATAAATAAAATATTTTTTTAAAAAAAGAACACAAGCCGGGCGTGGTGGTGCACACCTTTAATCCCAGCACTCAGGAGGCAGAGGCAGGTGTATCTCCCTGAGTTCAACGACAGCCTGGTCTTTATAGTGAGTTTCAGGACAGCTGGGGCTACAGAGAGACCCTGTCTTAAAAAGACCAAAAAAAAAAAAAAAAAGAACATAGTAATTGGGACAGAAAATGTCAAGAATATTGGTGTAGTGAAATCTTAGAGCAGAGAGAGACAGAGACAGAGAGAGAGACAGAGACAGAGAGAGACAGAGAGAGAGACAGAGACAGAAATTCCATGATAGAATTCCATTACTTGAAAGTATATTTTACCTTTGATTTTGTTTTTGTCTTTAACAAAACTTTGTGTTTATCATTGCCTTACTAAAAATAAAAATATCAGGTAGTAAGTAAAGTAACACAAATACACTGCATGTGCTTAGTGGCAATTTAATGCTGTGATGTTCACATCTGTGTCTCTATGTGACTCCGGACGGTAGAGGGAGAACATACAACCTAAAACAGCGTGGTCTCAGAATGCACCAGATGGCGCCAGACTCATAATCTTTGCAGGTGCTACTTTGTCTCTAGAGGAGGGAATACTATTTTCCATGTACGTCTTGAAGAATGTGGAACAGTCAATCTTTCAGGAATTGACTGTCTTTTTCCTTAGAAATTTAAGGGTGGTAGAATAGGAAGTACCTTCAGAAATTCTCAGTCCCTTTCCTGATAATCTTTTTGTTTAGAGCAGGAAAGCCAGGTCTCAGAACTACTCTTTTTTTGGACTGAGCAAGAGCCCTGAGAATTCTGATTTCCAAACTATGTGCAAATGATTTTTACTCTACCAATTTCCCTGTTTACTTCCAGAAAACTCTGGTTTGGGGATTACAATGGATGAAATTTTTGATAAGAGAACAGATAACATAGCTGCCTCAGGAAGGATTTGGGAATCTTTTCTAGGAACTATTCAATATCTACTTTGCTTTTATGAGTTAGTGAAGATGACTGGAGCTGCATTGTCTCATTTGTGAATTAGCCCCCCATACTGAGCTCTGAGGAGTTCTAACTAAAACTTGGGGAACTGTTCTGCAAGGCCCAAGAGCATTCCCCCCCATGAGCCACTCTGTAGGGCAGCAAGGTGTTAGCATCCATTTATGCTTTTCCCCATATTCCTTAAGGACTCCAACACCTCAGTCTCCACTCCAACATCACAGTGACCCTTCTGCAATTCATTCTTCTGTTTTATCTATTAGGTTAAGTGGGTGTGGGCAATAGGTAGAAAGCTCAAGACACCCCAGACTTGAACTTGACCAGCAGAGGCTATCTGTTGTTCCTAGACTTTGGTGTACTTAAGAATCCCTGCTAAGGTGCTTGAGACTCTGAGGTTCTGATGCTAGAGTTTGTAAGAGAACTTGAGCAAGTGTCCTTTAACAGCTGCTCTAGTACTAGATGTTATAGGCCTGTGTTCTGCACTAGAGAGCCTTGCCTTACAGAGTTGAAGTTCACACTCCTATGGTACACATCCGTTTCTTTAGTTTCTTCCATCCCAAGCATCCATTTACCTCTGGTTGCCTTAGTTTTCTGGGTGATTCCTGGGTGATTGTGTTACCACCATCAGGAAACCTCAGAAGGGCAGAGTCCATCCAAGCCAAGGCTGAGTCTTCCCTGTTATGATGTGAGTGAAGAAAAGTGCATTTGGGGTTGACCTTTTTTTCTGTTGTTTAAAAATTAAATTCATTTTAATCAAAGCCCAAAAGCTTAAAAGGTGTATGCACTAAGAATATGAAACATTTCACAAATTTGCATGTCATCTTTGCTCAGGGGCCATGCTAATCTTTTCTGTGTTGTTCCAATTTTAGTATCTGTGCTGCCGAAGCAAGCACTAGAGTTGACTTTCAATAGCAAAATACAGCCTGCTGCTTCAGACATCCAGACATCCAGAATGCTTCCATTCTGTCCTAGGTTACACAGCTTTTGAGTGCCAGGCATTCCTACCAGTGGGTGTTTCCCTGGTGCTGAACACATCACCTGCAGCAGCAGCACACACCTGCTGCTGTTCCTCCCACCTGGCTTCCTCCATGGAGGGAAGACTATTCATTGTCATAAGAATAAAAACACTTGTATGAAGATGATTTTCTGTATGAAATACACAAAAAATTCAATAAAAATTTTTAAAAAGAATAAAAACACTTCACTGTACTGCTTAGGAAGCAGCCTCTGCTCTCCTGCTGCCTCCTTGTGACATTTTGTGACTGCTAGTTTTGTTCCAATGCCATCCTGGCCTCCCAGAGTCTTGTCAGATATACCATTAAATTTGGTTCACCAACCCTGGCTAAGATTTCAGCAGAGCAAGCATCAACTGTGATTGTGGCTTCAAGGAAAATATGTATGGTGGTGGTGCCACACTAATGAGAAACTTCACTCTTAGAGTAGTTTAAGCAAGTGTGGGCCTGGTCTTCTAACGTATTCTGATTCCTCTCAGAACTGTTCTTTCAGAACTGAACTCTGGAATAAAAGGCTCCTCTCATTTTTATTGAATTGCTGTTCAATCATTCCATTCATATCAAGCATGGTATGATAAAGGCAAGAACGATCTTTGAAAACAGTTTTACAAAGAAAGAATTTATTGTTTTTCTTACGCTACTGATTTGGAACAGCACACAAAGCCATGGACAGATGTTTAAAAAAAAATATGCCCTCATGTTGCTTGCAACATCAGTGGGGAGATGTTGTTCTCTACATCATTGTTGTTTTCAACATCATCATTCTCGTATTTCAGGCCCACATACATTGTTCTGAGTCAGGGGCATAACTGAGTCATAAACAGGAAACATGGTATAAGATTAAGGCTATGCTTTCAGCTTAGTTTGTGAGAGTAAGTTACATCAGAATTCCAAATCGTAGGACTGATTGAAATGTTCTTCTCAGAAGGTGTGCGTAGCTCTAAATAGTCTCAAAACAATTGATAACTTGGTATACAGGTTATATAAAATTTCAATTTGAAAAAGGCTTGTTGCAAAGAGTCTTTCCCATTAAGTGGTTTTCCCAGGGTGAGGCTCATCCCATTGTGCTTGGGATGTGCTGACCCCTGCGATTTCCCCAAATGTGGGTAACTCAACTGCATAATTTGTGGTAGTGGGTACTGCGCTCACACTGAAAAAAAAAATCATTCCCACAAATATAAAGTCATGAAAGATATCTTTATATTTGGAGGAGATTTGAGAATTATGGAAGATGCTGACCTGGTAGAGGTGGTGAGGCCTGTCACAACATGTTTAGAGGTTCACTGCCCTGTCCTTACAAGGCAAATGGAATTGTTTGTGTGTGTGTGTGTGTGTGTGTGTGTGTGTTGCCAGGAATTGAACCCAGAGCCTCAAGCATGCTATGCAAGTGCCTTATCACTGAGCCTTCAAAAATCCCCCAAATCATATGACAGCTGCTGCTGAAGCACTTGGTTGCATTCCTTTCTTATGTCCATACTTGATGACTCTCTTCAAGTGTGTCTTGTTCTCCTGCTTAATAAATTCACCAACTTTACTTCACTATGACTCATTCTGAAATGCAAGTCAAGATCCCAGCTGAGTAGAGGCAGCTTAGGCTCCAAGGGGGAACTTCAGGCTACATAGCTGGCAACATCAAGTTGTATTCTCTGCTGCCTGTGACAACTGAGGACATCAGTGACATGGCCTAGTGGGACCAAGCCCCTCCTCTTGACAAAGCTTGGGTGGGCAAGCCATGGGACCTGTCCTTTTTAAAAATCATTATTTTTATTTTTATCCCTCTTTTGTTGATTTTAATAAAAGTTTAAATTAGCATACAAAGTAGCAGTTTTCCTTACTGGCATTCCACACATAATTAGTTTTGATTGATCTTCCCTCCCCCAGTCCTCTACCCCATCTCCCTCTCCCTGCTTGTACTCTTCCACACCTATTTCTACTTAATTCATGTCATATTGTTCTGTTACTTCTCTCCAGCCTTCCATAAAGCCTTTTTTCCCTTCTCATGTTCCCTTTTCTGTTTTTGTGACCTTTACCCACACTTATTCCCATATAAATACATATATACACAGACTAGAAGCTAGGATAAGAATATGAGAAAACATGTAGTGTTTGTCTTCCAGAGCCTAGGTTACCTCACTTAATATAATATTTTCCAGTTCTGTTCATGTTCCTGAAAATTTCGTCATTTCATTTTTTTTAATAACTGAATAAAACTCCACCATGTATATGCACCACATTTTCATTATCCGTTCATCTGTGATGGACATCTAGGCTGATTCCCTTTCCTTACTATTATGAATAGAGCAGGAATGAACATAGCTTTGTAAGCATCTCTGTGGTAGGATATAGACCTGTTCCTTTTGTCTCTGTTGCTTGCAGCCCCTTTCTTTTCTTTTCTCTACAGCCTGTATATATTTTTCTTTTTTATTGAATTTTTGCAATTTTCATACAATATAATTTGATGGTTTTTAGATCCTTTCCCTTAGAACATGTACCTCCTACTGTTCCTCT